AAACAAGAATGAAACAAGAAGGGGGGAAAAGAAAGAAAAAGTGTTTGTCACAATATTTGACAATACGTCAGTATTGCTCAGTGCTAATTACCCTCTGGTTATTTATTTATGAAAAACTTCTCAAGTGAATTTTAAGTATTATATGTAGATATATCTCTATTGTTATATACAATTATTTAAACCATAAAAAATACTGTTGGATCAAAGTATAGAAACTAACAAATACAAAAACATAATTAAAAAGTGTGTGAGTTTCTTGATATATGAATGAAAGATAAGAAAATCACGGTGAGGTATACAAAGAAAAACTGATTTCTCACATGAACTCAGTATCAGCCGATAGAGTGCTCCAGAAATTACGTTTTTCTGTAGGTCAACGAACACGGAAGTTAGCATCACCCTGGGTCTCTGGTCAAAAGGCCAGTGGGATTTTTCCATTGGATTTTGGATTATTACAGAAAATAAGCTCTGTGGCAAACAAACCTTTCTGATACTTACACATTTTGTTCAGCAACAAAGAAGTGTAAATGCAATCGGCAGAAGTAAAAAGCTAACGTTAGGCTATCAACGAACTACACCATGATCGCATGACTTCACATCCCTTCTACAATGAGGCTGTAAAGCTGTTTTCGGCGTGATGCCGTTCTGTAGTTTCATTTAGCCACCTATTAGCAACTGCCTCTTTCAACACATATAAAGGCTTCAAAATTCACGAGTGGGGTTTTTACTGTCATATTTTATGACATAAAACAAAAAGCTAAAGTCTCTTAAACTTGCGTTAACCACAGACCTTACTTTAGCCATCTAACCAAAGACACATTAAAAAAACTCATTGACCTCAAGATAAGGGACTCGGACGTGCAGAAATGCTACCTCATCTCCGAGTTTTAGGAGTCATTCCTAGGACACTTTATATCCGCATTATTAGGTGTTGGGACAGAGGGGAAAAAGTGTGATTACCGCAGCTCGTTTGGGGGAGGGGGGGGTTCCGTAACTATTTGACTATTCGACACACAGTTCTGATGAGGCATGCTGCTTGAGCTGTCACTTTCAGCTGATGTTGCAACAAAACCTCTCCCTGTCATTTTGACATTCACATTGATGGTGCAAAGTCCAACTGGATGCTCAGTGTGTTACAATCAGCTGACTTTTAATCTATTCTGTTGGGTTATTTAATCTGCTGACGGGGGGTCTTCTGATGTATCTCGTCTTCTCTGTAACCTCCTGTCTCTCTGCCTTTCTGTTTGTCTCTTTATCACTCAATAAACATCCACAAAATTACCTTTAAACAGGGTTCAGACCCTCTCTAAAAGTATCTCCTCTTCTGCCTCTTTCACTCCCCCACACACTCATTACAGCTCTTGAGCTCTTTGCAGTTTAATGAAAGACCCTAAGACATGGGAGCTAAGCCCTCTGTCCTGAATAGCATGTGGGTCATGCCCCATAGATTAGAAATCTTGGAGCAGCTACAGAGAAAGCAGGAGATTTACTGACATGGTCATCATGGTGCCGTGGAGAGTAATGCCTCTAATGGAGGGATGCATGCGCATGTTAATCTGTTATCAGACAAAGAAGCTTTATAATCAATCGTTGACAATGCATAATTGATGCTGGCTGCTCTGTGAAGGTTTAAGGGACAACAATCTTTGAAAGACAATAGAGGGTTTGAGCTGATCTGTCATCTGCTTTTAACAAAGTGAGATATTTAGCATACTGTTGTTTGTGGTGTTTTTGTGGGTTGGCCCAAAGATACAGAGACCTCTACTAAAGCAAACACAAAACTCACATTGTACAACTGCATCACCCAAAAATCTTTTTTTTACGTGGATTCCGACTGATACTGGCTTTTTCAGGCCAATACTGATATTTGAGGGTTAAAAAACAACAATATAGAAGCCAATTTTCTTTTTTCCCACATAAACTCATCTTTTACAGTAAAAGGAACCCCTAAATTTGGTTATTAACAAATTGTGACAACATATGTACAGAGAAAGAATAGTCTTCGGTGAAAACATAAACTTGCAAGTCCTCTCAGTGAAAAATGTAATGTTGAATCCATCCCCAAACTACTTCCAACATATCAGTCGCATTTCCTAATTGCAATTTCCTGGCAATTATTAGTTAATATACACATAAATGTGCATGCCAATAACAATACATCAGTTGGGGAGTAATTTCTTTGCTAGTTTGTTGTTATTTAAAACTTAACTTTAGTTCTATTCACACAGGACTAGTACTACCTGGGGACCACGGGTCATTTTTAATAATTGCTGAGATCATGTGAGATGTTAATCCCATTCAAAGCTGCCATGTCTTAAATTTGTCGAGTCGAAATTCTTCCACAAATTATTAACAATATTTCACCAAACAATGAGTCTGTGCGAACTGGTAATAGCTAGTAATACTAATCCTGTGCAAATAGGGCTTTATACAATTGTGCTAGCTTGCTTTGCTTGCTTTTATTAATTTTATTGTGGAGCACTGTGATTGAATGTGTCTGACTCTCTGTGCTGCCAGGTTGTCACTGTAAATGAGAAACTGTTCACAACTGACTCACCTGGTTAAATAAAGGTAAATAAATAAATAAATAAGCATTTTGCGAACATGCAGCTGTACAGAAATAAAGTTTTGTCATTTTTGCTTCTTGGTTTAAAATTCCCTCACATACACTGGAGAAATTTGATTTGGGAATGTAATTTCTTCCACTCAACGACGACAAACGAGGAGGTTATGTGATCATATTAGTCTGTGCATATCGGCATCTCAGTAATTTGGAGTCTTTTAAGTTTGTTTCCTCTGTACCTCTTTTCTGCCTCCTTCCTTGTCCAGAACTACGAAGGCTGCGTTGGCAATTATAAATGAAAGTTTTAACAGCATTTTGGGTGCAGGAGGCTCATCTTACTGCACAGCATGGAGATCCATTCTCAGAATGAGGAAACTCAAATCCATCAGAAGAGCGATATTTCGAAAGATGATATCTGCAAATGGGTCTCCATGCTGTGTGGCGAGATGAGCGTCCTCCTCCTCCTGAATTTGCACCCAAATACAGTCAAAACTTTCATTTATATCTGCCAGCAGCCTTCATAATTCTTGACTGGAATAGAGGCAGAAAAAAAGGCGCAGAGGAAACAAAAAACCTTGCAGAACAAGAAAATGACAAAATGCCAATTTGTATAGGACTAATATTATCACTGACCTATGTATTTGGCGAAATATGATAGATTACGAACATGCCTAGAAGTTTATTGACGGCCTCTGCAATAAATACAAGTTACCAAAGGTCTTTCAAGTAATACTAGTCCCATACAAATAGGGCTTTACATGATTATGCTCACTTGCTTTGCTTGCTTTTATTAATTTAATTGTGGAGCATTTTGGACCTATGTTGGAGTTCAGCTGTACAGAAATTAAGTTTTGTCTTTTTTTTTTTTTTTGGTTTAAAATTCCCTCACACACACAGGAGAAATTTGATTTGGGAAAGTAACATCTTCCCCTCAACATCTATTTGTGCGTCTTCATTTCCTATTTGTCCAGTCCCACGAGGTCTTAAGCACATGTAAACAAATATTTGAACTGTCACTCAAAAAAAATAGTATATAAACAGTGCTTTTATAGGTTAGTTTGTACTGAACTGAACCTGACAGCTTGGACAAGAAGCAGTCTGGGGTAAGGTGTGATATATGGTGCTGTGTTCATTAACTGATGTACATACTGAAATCAAACAGTGATGATGAGGAGACGCAACTGCAGTCAGTGGCTATGAATTTTTAAGATGAGCAAAATTATTCTCATCAGCAAAGTGATTTCCACCTCTACTGTATCCTTACTCACACGCAGGAACATTATGGTGTGGAAACTTTCCTCTGCCTCAACACTGACCTTTTATGTGCCTCTAACCTGCCGCACAAACGGGCATTCCCAACATACCCTATATGGTCTCTTAGAATAAGAAACAGGAACTGAAAAACCTGCATGAGTGCATTATGACAGGCTGGTACTTAATACCACGTAACTTAGACCAAGTGTCCACGCAGCTGAGGTGGGCTGATTGTTTTTTTTAAGTCATGGGGTGTTTTTGGGAATCCTCGCTGTGAAGCCTGGTGCGTGGGTTATAAATAGGTCAAAAATGTCAATACAGTCAGTGTAAAGCTGAGGGGGAATATAGGCTACCAAGGCAGCAGCAGCAGCAGCAGGGATTATCTCACCCAAATGATAGTGAACTGCAGGCCTTATATGGTATCAATGAGGGATTATGGCAATCCAACACACAGCCATCCATAAATGTGACCATGAAATGATATCATGACAGGAATGGATCAGCTCTGTAGATAAAACTCCACTGGTTGTAATTACGCTAGATGGCCAAAGTCATCTTATTTTGTCCCTGGAAACTACGGGCCAGTGCGCAGGCCCGGCTGCTGGGACTCCGCTGCAGCATCACGCCTCCTTCCCACTGAGCAGTGCGGTATGGTTATCCTCTACAAATAATCAAAAAAGCACCCTATACTGTCATGAAGGGGACTTGGAAATACTTTTGCAGCCTATAAAGCATAATTAAAATCTATAAGACACACGCTGGGTGCAGCTAGAGTGCTGTTTCTGAGCTTATATCGCCAGTCCTATCCATATTTGAACAGGTGTAACAGCCCAACTGTGCATGAAAAACATGCCGAATGAAGAGGAATGCGTCCTGTGTTATGGCACTGTGTGCAGCTATGAACTTTGCATTAATTACACTGCGTTTCATTTGCAGCGCAATTAAAAACACGCTTGTAAACCTGTCAGCTTGCATGCAAACACTCATTAAGATAACCGGACGCTATTCATAATATAAAGCTAGGTGAATAAATAAAACCAACGCATTTTATCATTCAAAAGCTCCGCACACACATATGTTGTTATCATGAAAACCCATGCTAACATGTTGGCTACATGTCGGCGCCAGCGGACAGACGGACGTGAATCATCCCCCGGTGCAGTGTTGTTGATTTTTTTTTTACCTTCAGATTGCGGCGTCTCCCTCAGCACACAGGCCAGCGGATCAAACACATCACCCGGGGAGGTTGTCCAGGATGTCGCGGTGTCAGTCTGCAGCTCGGCTCTTGTCCCCGGCTTCTCCTTCCTCCACGGTGTCTCTGCTGTCCGGTGGAAATTGACACATTTTACTTCACTGCAGCAGCAGCGGCAGCAGCAGCAGCACATGCTCAGACAGACTCACGCACTTCTTGCATCTTTGGTTAACCATTTCATGACCGCAGCTCAGCGTGCAGACCCTCACACTGGTGGTTAGTTGGCTGGAGTCCCCTCAGTCAGTCTGTGTGAATCCGCAGGACGTTGAACAGGCAGAGGTTAATATGTAAACTCAGCGGTCATCCCAAATGTTTAAGTGGAGAATGTATCAGAGTTAGCACTTAAATTTAAGCCCATAATGTAGTTGTAAGCAAGACATCCATCCTACCTGTTATTACCTTGACCTCTCTATTAATATCAATGATAATGATATTTTGGCATTTTAATATGTCCGACCAAATAAGGTATCTACATCCAGTAAATGGCAAATAGAAATAGCCAAAGAAATAGTCAAACTGTAGCCTGCTAAAGGCAGACCAGCTGTTTCCCCCCATTTCTAGCTAAGCAAAGCTAACCGACAACTAGCTGTAGCTCAACTTTTGATCCTCTTGTTTAACACATAACAATTTGTAAGAATTAAAATATATCAGTTCAAAAAATGTCAGATTTTCAGTTAATACGAAATTCAGCAAAACACTAAATAAAAGCAGGAGAGTCAAATCCAGTTCAAGCTAACGTTAGCTAGTTAGAGAGCGACAGCTAGCCTTGGCTAAAGCTAAATTTAATTGTATTATCCTCTCATAGTTTCCCATATTTAAAATATATGTTAATGAACATCTCGGTATTTAAGTGTGTCTGACTAAATAAGGTATCTAAATCCAGTCATGGTGAATAAAAACAGCCAAACTTATTCTACAAAATGGTAGCCTAGCCTAGCATCTCAGCTTCTGATTGTAAAATCCACAATTTGACGTTTGCGTTGTTACGCTACTTTCATGTCACTTTACTTTAATGTATAATATTTTGAAATAGTTTAATATATTGTTTTATGGTAACAAATTGCAGATGAACGGAGTTGGGTTGGGTGGGGCTGCCAGACAACCAGTCCTTTTCCCCATTTCTAGTGACGCTAAGCCAACCAGCAGCTAGCTGTAGCTTCAACTTTTGATCTTCTCATCGAACACATAATTTCTATGTAATAGAAATATATAAATTCAAAGGCATGGCATGTCAGATTTTACTACTACTACAAAATTCAGAGCCAAATCCAACTCAAGCTAGCTGGTGAGAGAGCCAAGGCTAGCTAGGGAACAAAGGGTTGGCTGCCATGCCAACACCTCTCTGTTCCCCAGTTCTAGCTAAGCTAAGCTAACCGGCAGCAGGCTTGGTTGCCATGCCAACACCTCTTTTCCCCAGTTCTAGCTAAGCTAAGCTAACCGGCAGCAGGCTGTAGCCTCAACTTTTATGATATAAAACATATCAGTTCAAAGAAATGGATTGTCAAATTATTAGTTAGTACAAAATTTAGTGACAAACTAAAAAGTCAAAGCAGGAGAGCCAAATCCAATTCAAGCTAGCTAGTAAGAGAGCCATAGCTAGCCTTAGCTAAAGCTAAATTGACTTAGGCTACATTATTCTCTTATAGTTTCCCATATTTAAAATATATCAGTGATAAGCAACAAACACCTTGGTAACAGCCAAACTTGTCCCTGCTAAAAGGTAATTTAGCCTAGCTTAGCATCTCAGCTTTTGTCATGTGGAGTGTGAGTTTTTAAGCTACTTTTATGTCACTTACCTTTTATAAATAATATTTTACGTATGTACATTAAAAATGTTGTTTTTATGGTAACTAACAAATTGAAGAAAAAAATGTTTTTTGATACTGTGTTTTCCCTGAAGTGTGTTCTTAGCCATTTACTAATTATTTATATGGGCCTGCTGTTTATTAAGGCCAAACAGGGAGGGATAAAATAAGGTGTTACCACATAATTTAAGTAAATTACTGGAATAGCCTACTATTTTTAACCACTTATTCATGTGTTCCTGCTATATATTATCCAAATACGGAACAAGAGTTAGAAAACATGTTAAAAATGGCTACCATTACACAAACATCCCAACAGGGGATATGTAATTTTCACTGGTTGTAAGAAATTTGCCTTTAAAATCTCAGATCAGGTAAGGTGAGGTAATTACTGCCCTCATGCACACAATTTGCTGCAGGTGTGTGGAGCCAGTTAAGCTGTATACTTGCAGTGTGCCAAACTCTGAGGGTAACATGAATTTCTAGCTCAAATATATTTGATTCCCTGAAAACATACATAACTAACACCCATTTTCCTTGTTCCCATTCAGACTATTGTTCTGAAACTTTCAAAGACTTCCTGTTGTTTTCCCCACGCTTTCAGACCTTTGTAGTAAATCTCTTTATTCTCACTAGGCTTCCAGTGGGATGAATATTTTAGGAGTTTGAAGAAGAGGTGTGAACCCTCACACCTATCCAGTGACACAAGAAGAGATGTCACCTGCGCCTCTAATAATGTCTCTTTCTCTGTATGTTTGTTTTGGAGAGAGCCAAGAGTGTTTGTTAGATGTATAGCAGCCTGAAACCCAAATATATCGTTATCAGTGTCATTAACGTCAGTGATACGTCACTATAATACACTCTCAAAATACTTCCTTTATTAAATTAAGGTCAGGTGGTTTAGTCATATGATGAGTTTCTGCTTTAAACAGTTACAAACTAGTGCTTAGGTAAGGACTTGCCATCAGTTATTACAGGAAGTCAGTCATAAAATACTTTCCTGTTTATCCCTTACTGACCTTAAGGTCTTGACCACAGTTATTGAGTTAATATTATAGACTTTTAGGAGGAGCTTAGAAACTCTATGCTGACATATAGCATCGGTGATCTGATTTTAACTTTAGGTCACTAACAAAATAATTGCTCCTGCACTCTTGAAGTCTTACACTAACTACCTCAGATTTGACACTGTAGGCTATAAACGTATTTATAAGTACCCCAGTATATTTATCATCCATACTGGTAACCAGTTTTTGGCATTGTGTATATTGTTTTATCACACCTTATTTGCACTTTACAGTTAGCTAGTTTTATATTTTGCACCACAGTCTTTTGTATACTGTATTGCAGTCTTTGTATCGTAACTGCTGCACAGCAATTTTCCGAATAAAGTTAAAATAAATAAAGTTCTATCTTATCTAATTACAATGAACCAATAATAAGTAACACCACCAGAGTGTAGAAATATTCTGTTACAAGTCCTGCATTCAAAAATTAACTTGAATAAAAGTGCAAAAGTTTTAGCATCAAAATAAACTTAAAGTGCCAAAAGTAAAAGCAGTCATTATGCAGAATGGCCCATTTCAGAATATTGTATATTATTGTATTATACCGTAAAACCTCAATTACTAGTCCAGGCTATTATTTGCTTAAATCACTGAACTCAAAGGGCTTATATTTGGGACAGACTTCCATATTGGACAGACCTTTAATGCCTTTCACACAAAACTGTTGCTCAGCAAAGATGGGAAATACAATCTGATTTTTTAAAAAACCAATATGAATATTACTTTTATAAAAATTAGGTTTCAAATAACATCAATTATGAATCATTTGATTTAGCTTAGACAGTTAGTGCTTTAAAAACGCAAACAGCCCTTTTCCCCAATTTCTAGCTAATCTAAGCCAACTGACAACTAGCTGTAGCTTCAACTTTAGATCTTCTCATCACAATTTTTATGATATAAATATATCAGTTCAAAGACATGGCATGTCAAATTTTTACCTACTAAAAAACTCAGCCACAAACTAAAAACGTCAAAGCAGGAGAGCCAAATCCAGTTGACGCTAGCTGTTGAGAGAGCCATTGCTGGCTTTAGCTAAAGCTAATTTTACTTACTTTCACCCTCCTGGTTTCCTGTAATTACAATTCATCAATGATAACGAATTAACATCTTGGTATTAAGTATGTCCAACTAAATAAGGTATTTAAATCCAGTCATGACAAATAAAAATAGCCAAACTGTAGTCTGCTAAAAGGTAGCCTAGCCTAGCGTAGCATCTCAGCTTTTGCTATGTGTTATGACACTTGTTTTACGGCACCTGGGGACTGTAGCACCCTGAATACCGACACGTGACTTTATCCTGTTAATATAAATTAATATTTGCAATTTGGATTCATTTTTATGGAAAATCCCTTGTGGTTGTGTCGATCAGTGGACTCTTACTGATCAAAGTAATGCAAATAACTCAGAGGGTTATCGAGGAACCGACACATATTCTAACTTTATGACCTCTTGAGAGATAATGAGTCACCACTTTCTTTTTTGTCTCTCTTGTTTACAATGCAGGTAAATCTGAATGAATTATTTTTTGGTGTTCATGGTTTCAGTAAAATTAACCTAATGATTGAACTGTGGAGAATCTAAGCGAGCTAACGATGTGTAGCATCTCTATGCCGACAGAGGTTTAAACATTTATATCTGTTTGTGCAATAAAAACAGCTAACTCATGTTAGCTCAAGTGGCTAGTCACGAACCTTGTTTTATGCATCCATAGAACTTCTATAAAAATGAACTACATGGCAACGAGACCAGGCTTCTAATTGAGACAGGCCTTTATTAGTCAAAATGTGTCTCCACATCAGGCTAGTAAAAGAGACTGGGCGTTTAATTGAAGTTTTATGGTATGTATTCATCACTTTATGTTGCAGCTGGTAAAGGTGGAGTTCATTTTGATTACTTTACATACTGCTGGGTAATTCTGTGAATTTCCCCAAAGGGATCAATAAAGTCCTATCATAATCTACACATCATAATTAATTTTAACATTTTTTGTGTTATTAATGTGAATCTTTAAAGTAATTCATAACTAAACTGATTAACTAATTTTTTTACGATTACTACATTTTTTGTGCAATACCTTTTTTTTATTGTTTTTATTTTATGACCTTGTTTTTAACTTTTTTTCTTCTTTATCTTCTTTTTATCCTTTTTTTTTTTATTGCTGCTGGTCACTAAAATTTGCCAAACATAATTTCATTGTACGCCTATCACGACAATAAAGTGTCTTTTTTATATATATATATAACTAAAATCATTGGATAAATGTAGTGGAGTGAAATACATTTCCTTTTG